AAGGACCACCACCATATACCAACACTTAGCCGTAATAATCCGTTAGATGTTTTTCGTTTTCTCCGAGACCATGACGACGATCCAGCTGTAACGGTAGGTGCTGGTCCCTGTCGCCGTTCAATGTTCTCACAGCGATGTGCAGGCATTCATTCCGAAACTCAAGAACCACATTCTATATCGCCTTCGAAAGTTGGATATCACACATTGTGATCACGCGTTCACCGACCAGGAGCGCAATTCAGTAATCATCTCGGACAATAGGTTATATGCTGCTCAAACAATGCAGGTATGTTACATTTATCGTGAATTTTGTTGCTGTCCGATCATCCAACTTTACAGGTACACTACACGACTTACGATCTCCGACGAGAATACGACAGTATAAACCTTCGGACGCACTGTGACGTTATGGTGTTATCTGGGGAAACAGATCCTAAACACCCGTATTGGTATGCCCGCGTTTTGGGCATCTATTACCTGGATGTAAGGCTGAATGTCGAAGGTCCTGTCAAAATGCAACAAATCGAGGTTCTTTATGTCAGATGGTTGGCACCTGTGATTGACCATCGGTCAGGGTTGAACTGCGCTAGGCTCCCGAAAGTTGCCTTCGTTGAAGAGACTGACCGTGATGCTTTTGGGTTTCTAGATCCCGGCCAAGTCATCCGAGGAGCCCATTTAATTCCGGCTTTCATTTTGGGGCGCGGGACAACCTCCCTTCGCTATGGAAAGTCATTCGCGCGCCAAGATGAAAAGTTAGATGATTGGGAGGCGTACTACGTTGGCATGTCAATGCATTTCTTATTCTGCTGTCTTTACTCGAGCTGACAAATGCTCAGCTTTGTCGACCGCGATATGTTCATGCGTTACACACCTTATGGAGTTGGACACCCTACCGTCGTGCGCAAGATGGTGAGGGATTACGCCGATGCAGACCTCGCAGATGGCCCAGAACCAGAGGCTGACGACAACGAGGTTCAACTTTGCGAGGGCGACAGCGAGAATGGAGGATCCGGAGAGGAGGAAGACCAGGAAGACGAAGACGAGGAAGATATAGACGAAGAGGAGTGCGTCGACGATGAAAGCATCGATGATCTGAATGACGAGGGGATGGAAGACGATCGCATATTCTTCTAACACCACAAGAAGTTCTGAGAGGTCGAGAGAAGCTGGCAGTTGTCTTCTTTCTGGCGTGATAGTTCCTTAAGTTTAGCTTGACGACACTCAGTAACAATCTGATTGGCGTACCCCTACTTTACTCTCGGTTTTCTTGTCTATCTGTATTTATTTGAGAGGAGGGCCGCTGAGCCTTGCCCGCTGCGATGACAGCACATTAATTACGAAATGTAATACTACTCTAAATACGTTGACAAGTGCCAAAGGCACCACCCGTAAGAAAGTTCTGAATGATCTTTTAATTCCAAATATACGTGACAAAAAAGAGAGGCATCCGAGAGATATGAGGGGACTGTGCTGTCGTCCTATGGTGGGCTTCATTGCCGCAGGTCATGACTTTGTTACAAAATCCCACACTATTCTACATTCGGTGACGAGTACTAACGATACCTCCCACGAGAATGTCTTGGATGAGGTCGTAATGTGAAGCAAAAGTAAAACAAAACGGCAATGCTCAAAATAATCGCCACCAGTATGCTGCCACTCCTCGTCGGCTGTGATGCAGGAATGTCATCGCATTGTCGTGCCTTGCTTATGTTACTCTGATTTTGCACGTATTGATGGCTATGTATCTACAACTCAAATTTTTAACAGTATGAATGATCATATTTAGCAGGAGCAGAATTATATCCTTCTACAGTTCGCACGGCTACAATATCAAGGTCTCATCAATTCACTGATGACAGGGAAAGCATCGGAACCGCTGCAGTACTAGTCCAGACTCTCGAATGGGTGTGAATCAGTACCATGCGACCTACTCGGAATCGGTCTCCAGGTCTTGATCTAATGGGCTTCGGAGCGAGAATTGCGTAGTGCGGGAGATGTTCGCTGGTTGCCCGCTAAGGCTTTCTCTCCGTGCACACGTAGGCCGCAGCTCCCGTTCTGTAAATAGCTGACAACTTTGCGCCAAATTGTCCCGAGCACTTATATAAGCACCTCGCTAATAGTCGTTGGACTGGTTTTACCCAGAGGGGAGCACGAGTTCGAGACATGGTAATACCAATGATTATGATTAATGAAGCGTTGAACCTATCTGTTGTCCGTATCGCCCTTCTATAAAACCCTTTGTAGCTCGAGGAAAAGACACAAATGACTGATGATATCTGTTTCGAGTACTTATTTAAATGAAAAACTTCCCGACATATCTTACATCCTGGTGGTATTAAGTGAGCTCTATGTGAGTACTGCGGCGCTGGAGTCGGAAGGGCAGGATCGAATGCAGTACGATGCAAACGAATCTAACGTCTGCTAGTGCATTTGAGGGATATGTAGTATTCATGATTTACAATTCACTTACAATTTGCCACGAGCTAACCTCTGCTTAAGAGAAGTAAACACGCTAACACTGCGAATGCGCATTGAATACGTGAGCCAGAAGATCGCAATGATCTACAGAAGGCACATTAGCATCAGATCTGAGCAAAATCCGACAGTGTCTCACATTAAACGCAGCGAATGCAAAGATAATGCCCAGGTTTCGCCAGTGATCACTGTATTCAATGTTGAACCTCGAGTACATATACTCGTCAGTGGTCTTGTAGGGACAGTACTGGCAGCCCTCTGCAGCTCCGGGGTTTGTGAGGTAGCCACCAGCGAATTTGAGAAACGGATCCATGTACTCGCTGCAGGTCATACCCATCGGCGGGTTCACGGAGACTAGTTCCGTAGAGGAGCAGATAATGGTTTGACCGCCAACAGCTAGGAGGACATATGAGTACGATTATTCAGCAAGAAATCATTCACGAACCTTGACCAAGAAGGCCCTGGATTATGTACGTGAAGGGAGAGGCCCTGTACATCCATTTCCACCAGTTCAGCTCGAAGAACGGCTGAACGACGCCATCACTGGTAGATTGTTAGCATGAATTGGCGTGGCTCAAAGTGTGTCTCACAAGATCAGCATGAAGATAACGAGAGTTGTGAAGTATATGGATGCAACTGGAGCGGTTGGTGCCATGGATGCGATACCATGTCCAAGCGTGGTATAGTAGAACGGGAAGGCGATGGAGAGGGCGAGGAACGTGTAACCAGCCCGGCCTGTAGGGTATCCAACGGTCCAGTACCAGCACAAAAAGAATATTGCTGAACTTGTGATATTCCAAGGAAGCTCAGCGACAAGCTGGGACATGACGAGAGCAGTCCAGTTATACATTCTAGTGGGACGTTCGCGTACCTCGTACACTGTGCGAATGTCGATGTAGACAGCCATAAGCTGATGGACGAGGGGAACACAGAGCACAAGGGAGAGGAAGACTGACTAAAGAAGAGTAAGGATGTGATTAAACGAACAATCTGAATTGATATACTTACGAATAGCTTATTTTGGGTGCCTTGCAACGAGTCATTTGCCTGAAAGAATGTAAAGCCCACAAGAAGGCCACCAGCGATATTAAGGATAAACTTGGCGCGAATATACGTAGGATTGCGCCAGTATGCTTGGAAATTCCTGTGGGTGAGCATAACGAACTGATGCAACCATGAGGTGGTGAAGACAGAGTACTGTTTGCCAAGCTTCTGTGGGTGAGAACGACCCTGTTGATGCAAGTCGTCGATATGGTCTTGAAGCTGCGCCGCTTCTTGTGAGCACTTCCAGACATTGTACCAATCAGTGGTAGAGACTGCAGTTGCCCCAGCACCTATGACATCAAGCATGTATTCCGCCCTTCAACTCCCTGGTAAGCGCAAGACCCGTATGATTGCGCCTTACTTACGGATTATCGTCAGAGCCGCAGCGTGGAGCACCATTACGCTCAAAGTAATTTAGCATGGTCGACGAGTTCTCGCCAATGTCGCCAAAGTAGACCGTCTGTCCACCCTTGCGAAGGAGCAGTAATCTGTCAAAGACCTGGAAGAGTTCCGCCGAAGGTTGATGGATTCTAGTGCAGCTCATGAATATTGAAAAACCGACATGTCAAAATGACACTCACGTGCAGAGAATAGCCTGACCACGGTCAGCAAGCTCACGAAGTACATTTACGATGGCCCAGGCGGATTGCGAGTCAAGGCCAGATGTAGGCTCATCCAAGAAGAGTAGAAGTTTGGGCTATAAGTCTCTCAGCACAACTATAGCTTGAAGGGTTTGCGTTCAAACCTTGGCAGCGAGCTCCACTGCAATGGTGGTGCGTTTACGGTGCTGAACCCCAAGAGAGCCAACAATAGCATCAGCATACTCCTCTAGACCACACATTTGAAGGCACTTGTCAACGCTGCAGTGGAAAGTTAGGTGGGATCCAATCACGACAGAAATTATACGTACTATGCTTCTTTCTCAGCGAGAGGAACTGATTGTGGCTGGCGAAGATTAGCAGAGAAAAGGAGCGCTTCACGGACAGTCGCCTCGGGAAGGTGGGTGTCAAGTTGTTGGCAGTAGCCACTAAACATGACAGTCAGATAAGATCGGAGAAACTAGGACGATACTTGCGTCTGAGCTTGGAAGTCTATGGGGAGCGGCTGCCCGCCAAAGAATCGTTCGCCAGTTACCAAACCAATACCGACACGTTGTGCAAGGACATTCAAAAGCGTTGTCTGCAAGCATTCGAGTAAATGGAATATGCGACCGGTATCATTGGAAGGTATACCTTGCCAGCTCCAGATTCACCCATTAATGCAGTGAGTTTTCCAGGAGCAACAAAGCCCGTGACATCATCAAGAAGACGTTTCGTCCCTCCTTCAATGGGGATGTCATATTGCACGTGCTGCCACGTGAAGAGGTCCTTAACCTCCTCGAGATTGACGGAAGTCGAGGGATTTGCTACTCCAGAGAGGGGTTTAGAAAGAAACTCTGCATCAGCCTTTTCCTCGTCAAAGACCTTAGAATCCCCATCGACAGCACAAGTTCCTTGCTTGAAGAGAACGACAGCACTGTCTGCAGTAGACAGAGTATTGAATTCTGTGGCAACCAGGAAAACGGCCAAGAACCCAAGGTAGAAGGCGCAAAGGACACCAAAATTCTGCGGTGGTGTCATGAGCCATTCACAAAGTATTGAATGACCGCCTACCCTCCAAAGTTGACTATACCAAACGTCAAACGTCAATGCAATATAGATGTTGCCATCGACGAGAAGCTGTCCGGGCTGCGACCCGACAGTCGTGCAGACCTGGTTTGCTAGTGAAACATTCTCATACCCCGGACCCTGTGGGACAAGAGTGGAGCAAACTGCGTCGATTGTATGAAACTCGTTCACAAGAAGTCCACCGAGCGACCACCACAATGGCTAAGACATATTGAGCGGAAGAAAGTATTGTACAAGGGAAGACCTACATTCAACCACATGATCCACCTTAAGCCCTTTGGAGCAGTTGGCCACGGAACTGTGTACCCACCATAGAGCGACATTAAGAGGATAAAGATACCGCTGACAGCTAGTGCGCTAGGACGAGTTTTAAAACTTGTAGCAATAGCTCTAAAGAATGATTTCATGGTTTGTGACATTAAGAAGATGAAAAGGTAAAAAATGCTGTTGTGCAGCAGGATGAGTATCAAAGCCAAGAACAAACGATTGGAAGAACTTACAAAAATTGCGAAGCAGAACGTTGCAACCCGACCAGGAAGTAGAGTATTACAGCGAACACAAGTTGGACGATCAAAGTGACCGGAATATCCACTATGGTGTGCGCGAGACTCTGAATAAAAGGGTAATATAACGCGGCTTTCTGGTGACGAAGCACGATCGGACGCTGGAAAAAAAGAGCTGGAACTTCTGAAACAGACGTAATAGCACTGAAGAAGAGGGAGCTGAAAGAGGTGTGAGGCACAAACTTATGAGGACAGGGGAAGATATTTACAAGAACAGAACACCTCCACGAGAGAAGTAGGCAGAGGTGTCATTTGGAGTGTCCAGAAAAACGGTGCCCATAATTATCGCTTGAAAGATTTGGGAACTGTCGTTTATGTTACTGAAAGTTGGTCAAACAAAAAATGCCACCTACGCCAGTCGCATAAAGAACTCGAACTTATTACCAATGATGATTTGCACGCTGCGCTTCGTGACCACTTTGACTTGCTGGAAGGTAGAGGTCATATACACGCTAGATGTGTTGCCATGTTCAGCGGCCACGCTGGCCAGATATGCCTGCTTGTGTTCGTGATTGCCAACCCATTGCTCGCGGCGCCGTTCAATGGCTTCCTGATTCTGACGACCGAGGTCAGAAGTCATGAAAAAGCTAGCAAGTTCCTCTGCCGTTCGCGGAACAGAGCTCTCGTATCCAGGGCGGATCTTCCTCCCGTGCGGATCCGTGACTGATAATGACCATTATAAGACAATATAAGATGGACACGAAGCCCTCCCTACCTGCAACTAAGAAATCGGGGGTAGTCTGTCTGTTTTGCGGTTCGAAGCCCATACCAATAAAGTAATCTTTCGCCGACTTTGCTGGGCCAAAATAGGCCATCTTCCCTTCCGCGATAACACAAACCTTATCAAACAGATCGTATAATGGCTCGCCCGCCTGGTAGAGCGAGACAATCGTCGTTGTACGCCTGGCGTCTGTGATAAAACGTAAGGCCCGGACGAACTCAAGGGCAGTCGAGGAGTCTAGTCCACGAGTAGAACTGAATGAGGAAAGGTTAGAAGCATGACACCTTAGATGATAACGCCTTACTTATCCCATGCACCAAGTGAACCTGCAGAGCCTAAAGTTTCTGCGATAGAAATTCGCTTTCTCTCGCCCCCGGAGACACCTTGAATCTGGGCATTACCAACTAGTGTGTGTTTCGAACGATAGAGACCAAGAACTTTCATCAGCATCGTGGTGGTATCCTCAACGTAGTCCTCGCGTGTCTGGTTGGAAAGACGGGTTTCAGGAGTACGGTTTCTAACAGCAAAAGAGAGCGTCTGGTCGACGGTCAGCGTCGGGAAGTGGATATCGTCCTCCGGGCAGTAAGTAATATCGCCGCGGAAGGAGTCATATATCTCCTCTGAGGTGAACGAATCATAGAAAATCTGACCCTCAACAGCATGATACTCCCCACGTTGGTTAGCGATTGTCTTGAGCAAGGTCGAGCACCCTGCGCCGGGACGGCCAAGGACCACTGTACAGAAGGTCAAGACCGGAGGCCGATGAAAAGCCTGTACTTACGCAGCATTTCGCCAGGAGTGACCACACCCTCGAATCCAGACAAAATATCTCTGATGGAAGGATGGCGAATTTCCCTTATCTTGGCCAGAAGCGTTGAGGGATGGAAAAGTGAGCCCGCCGTGGGCTGGAACGAGGTGCGAGAACCTGCACCAACGACACGCAGATCCTTAAACATGACACCAAGTTGACGGTCCTTTATTCCTTCATCTTGACGGCTGAGGGAGAGAGAATATTAGACAATCAAATCAAATCACCATAAAACACTTGCTGTTTCATGAGGTCTCTGAGTGCCTGCTTAAAGTCATAGGATTGTTCATTCTTTCCGGACGAGGATATGCTTGACGAATTCTCAATGAATGAAGGAGCAGATGTTGGCGAGTCCGACTCTAAAGGAAGAATTGGGGTGGGAACCAGGCTAGCTGTGGGGTCGACCAGTCCACCGGCCTCGTGGAGGGCCATGATAAGACCGTACCGAGGAACCGTAGGTGGAAACAACTTCAAGGGGGATTTTCAAAACGATGAAAAGGTTACGGAATATATGGGGTGAAGTTGCTCGGTTCGGCACAATGACCTAATAAAAACTTGATCAGAAGTTTTATATAGCACACTATCTGCTACTGCCTGCGGCCAGTTACATACTTGTTGCCACAATTGAAAGAGCGTCAAACCGGGCAACTGGGAACGCGTGGAGTGCGCGAGGATAGCGGCGGTTGGATCAAAGTCCCGATCATTCCGACGGAGCCAATTGTGCACTTGAGGCTAATGACTCTTCAGCAATCCGTTTATATTGCCGTAGGACGATTCGCAAGTTATGAGTTGCCTTTCAAAGTGCCAGAACGTTGAACCTGCAAGGACCAAGTGGTCAACTCGTACCATGCCATGTGACACTCCTAGTACGGGTTAGTTCATCCTACTTCTGATCCTCGGGCCTGTACCGTTCCTCTGCAAATCTCGCCTCCGGAGCGGATAAGTTAGCATGCGACCAAACCAAGTGGCAGGGAAAATGATGAAGTAATGTCATGGTGAGTTACAAACCCGTTGGCCCACGGATTTTCCCCAACGGATGCGGCTGAGCTAGTCATTTTTAGTATTTGATCGAGGACATTAATATTTGTTTCACAGCCTAGGGTTCGGCCTTTGCCGGCTTTCACTTTACCCTGTAGCCATGCTCGGTAGCTTGTTCGTGAGGCGAGTTAACACCATATACTTAGACTCATTTGATACAGGGAGTGAGTAAACCGCACAAATCTGGGTGTGTACAATAGGCCTTAGTAGTACAGTTGGGGTATTTTGTCCTTGTTCCGTGTGAACAGCATCGTAAAAAGGAGGGCCCTGTTTATACAGCTTCACGTACAAGCAATAGAAGCGGTAAGATGGAAAGAATGCCGTTCTATCCGACTCCATCGATATGAAAATAGTTGTAACGTTCTGTAGCGGTATAGGTAGCTATATTTAGCATACTACCATGAACGAATTCACTGATCGGCGGCTGTGCTAATATAGACTTCCATGTCCCATGTCCCAGTTATTACTATGTACTCATCCTCCGAGTGTGATATACAAGTGTTTGCTAGTGAGAACAGCACGTGCACCTGGTACGATGACTATAGTCTGCGTGTTATCAATGATCATCGCAGGACCCGCGACTTCATCGCCCACGACCAAGCTATCCAGGAGGAACACAGGAGTATCGGCAACTCGGCCGACTTTATCGAAGTACACGCTATATGTTGAGTCTGCTCGATCACGTGTGACAGGATGTTTCTCAAGCCGTTCTATCTCCAAGTAGACGGACTCCCCGAGGTGGTCGAAGGTCTTCCCGATGCCACGAACCTGCGGGCATGATCACCTGGTACCTTTAAGTCACTTGCGATAGCACTCACCTTCACGTCATCTACGATGATGCTTTTGGTATCAAGCAAGAAACCAAACTCTGCCTTGTACACGCGCCTGAACGCTGCCTCAAAGTCCTCGGTACCATCGCCATCATTCTCATTAGGGAGAACCATGAGGGCAGTGTCAGTGCCCTCAAACCGCATGTTCAACATCCGCTCAACCTTCACCCGGTCGCCTTCAAATCCCTGGCGTTTGAGCTCGGCCTTGACGTCATTGGTAAGCTTATCAAGACGGACGGTCAAGTTCCGGCGTGTCTGCGCAGAATAGAACGCTGATGAGGGTTCTTGAAGTTCGTATGCGCTGTCGATCTCAGTTCAGAAATAACATCATTAGCACCGCGGGATAGACACTTGCCGGTCTGCTAAAGCCAATCCATATGCAGACAAAATGGAGCTGTATCGATGGATGAGGATGGTCTTTATGCCAAGCAAACTTGCAATCTCGCAGGCGTGTTGACCACCAGCACCACCGAAGCTTGCCAATCTGAGAACAAATATATGAAAGGGTGACAGAAATGCGAGATAGACACCATACGCACACGTGTTTTCCAGTGGAGTATCCTCGTGCCTCCGTTAGTGCACGGATGGGTCTGCACATCGTCTCATTGGCAACTTTGATAAACCTAACCTCGAGTATGAGTGTATATCACCATGAATGACTGTGCTGTACCAACCCGTATACAATGTCATCCAAATCAAGGTTTATTTCATGACTTTCGTTAATCTCCTTGGCGACCTTCTCAAAGGCCACGCGTGATGCTTCTGAGTCTAGAGGCTCCTTCTCTGATTTTCCGAATATTTTAGGGAAATAACCTGGGATGAGGCGGCCTAGGAGCAAGTTGGCGTCTGTGACTGCTAGCGGACCGCCTTTCCTGAGTACAAGTTCAATTAAATTCTTTCGTCTTCAGTCTGCACTTACCTGTAACATGCAGGACCTGGTTGTGCACCAGCGCTTTCGGGTCCTGCGAGAAACAAGCCGTTTCGGAAGGTCAAGCAAGAACCTCCACCAGCTGCGACAGTGTTAATGTCCAACTGTGGAGACTGAATAGTGACTCCGGCAGTTGTCGTCTCGTAAACCACTTCGTAGCGGCCGTCAAAGCGAGATACATCAGTCGATGTCCCACCTACATCAAGGCTGCAGAACAGGAGCGCAAGTCAGGCCGAAAATACTGATTAAAGCATGGAATATACCCAATGATAGGATATTTCCTGTCTGCGTCCCAGCTCGTCAGTGCATACCCCACGACGCCTCCCGCCGGGCCACTTAGAATGCTCTTCAAGCCAGAGAAGTTATTAAGGTCTAAAAGTCCCCCGTCGCTACCCATGAATTCCACACGAGGACTCTTTATCCGTCCGTCCTTCAACTTTGTGTCGAAACCGTGGAAGAATCCGTCTAGATACTCTCGCAAAATAGGGGTGAGATATGCGTCCGCCGTGGACGATACACCGCGAGGGACCATCTTGATCATGGGCAGCAACTGCGAGGATTCTGAGACCTGGGTGAACCCGACTTCTCGTGCAAGCTTGCCGATCTGTATTTCATGTTCGGGGAAAGTATAAGAATGAACAAGGACGATCGCGAGGGAGCGATACCCAGTGTCGTACAGTCGTTGTAGGTCGTGTCTCAGAAGGTCCAGGTCTGAGAAATCGAATCAACAAACGTAATGCCATAAATGCTGTAAAACATGTACCTGGTCTCTTCAAGATCCTCACTGCTTCTCCTGAGATCCCTCGAACAATATCTCCTGGACCTTCAGCATTACCCTCCCCATCCCATCCAGGACCCCTATAGCCTCTTTGAATGGACGACCCATCATCATTCCACTGAATAGCGTTTTCCTCTGACTTAGGATCTGATGTGTACCCAACAAGAGTTACACGCTCGTCGACCTCAATGACTTCAGAGTACAAAGGACTCGGGCGGCGAATGTTCAAGTCGAAGATACGCGGGCGTGACTGATTCCCGATGAGCAGGAGGTCCTTGAATCCTTTTGTAATAAGCAACGCATGACGATGTCCCTTGCGCTCCAGCAGCGCATTTGTCGCCACTGTTGTCGACAAACGAATGTAATCTGGACGTAGGACGTTGTCAGAATAAGTGAACTTGAACGTGTCATCCTAGTACGGACCAATCTTGCTAGTGTCAAGCACAGACCCACGGGGAATCGTCTCTCCCGTTACGGTTTCAAGCACCCTGCGGATACCTTCCGTTGGTGCATCGCCGTAGTTGGCTGTGTCCTGTGACACTGCAGGACAATTGAGCAGCCAGTAAGAGAATATGCACCAGGAAACACGCACGAAGTTTGACAACGATATCCTTCCGCTCGTTTGGATTGCCTGGGTCAGGATACGATCTGTTTTATATTAGCTTCGAAGGCAATCATGAACTTTGACTTGGCCTTACGCATGAACATCACAAAACGTCCCTCCTCTGTCTGCGCAGATGCGAATGGATCTATCGGGAACCTCAATCATGCTCATAGAAAGTAAGAACCAGAATCACAGCGATAGCTAATGAGTGGAAAGATCCTTTGAAACATCAGAGCAGTGGCTAATAACTACTAGTCTTAATCCAGTGACCAAGGTCAGGTGAATTGCCACTTCGCGGATCTGGATTCCGGAGGGCCGCTGGCCCGCAATCACATATTGCACAAGTAATAATCATCATAAATCAAATAAATTCCACTATAAAACAGGTCAAACGAGGGGACAACATGGGGAGAAGGTAGGGCTACGACTATATAGACAAACCCTGGAATATTAGCATGCGCTAGCAGAAGGTCAGGAATATGGGGGACAATTTTAAAAGAATGGTGTGTATGTATGCCGTTGAATAGAGAAATAATCCAGAGTCCAGTCGACCAGTTTCGAGACACGGTATTGCAACGCTTCGAGAAGATTCGAAATCTAGGGGACAGTGGGGTATTTAAATAGGATGTTGGTGGTGTTGGGGATCAAGACTGGTATGAACGGCTCATATACACGTAGGTGTTCAGATACACATGATAGAAAGACGAGTTGCATGGTGCATTCCTCGGTGAATTGGATCAACGATGGTGATGGCGAACGGAAGAATGGCCTGCATGGATGATCAAGGAAGCGAGGACTGCAATCACTCACTCCTCCTCTTCCTCCTCCATCACATTATGTAACGGTGCACCATGCACATACCTAGCGGGACTATCCCGCCCGTTCCCGTTATACAACACACCTAGGGGCTGTAGAAGTTCCTCGCCCTGCAAGCCTTCCGTGTGTGTGGGCTCCTCAATAACATCCTCCGCGGGGGTCACTACAGCAGGTTCCATCTCAACTACAGGCACGGGTGGCAACGGCGACTCCTTCGTCTGAGGAGACGCTAAAGTCGAACGCACGGGGAGCTTTGGTATCGGCACAGGACTAGTCGTGAACGACTTCTTCTCGCGCTCGCGGTATATCTCAATCAGTGCGGCCGTCCGGCTCTTATCTCTATCCTTTTCTCCCTTCTCCGGCGTCACAGGTGCCACAGCTATAAGCTGCGGCATAATCATGATTCCCGTCCCCGAATATTTAGCATCTTTATCCTTGGCTACGCGGTGGTCTTCGTACACCAAATCTGACGCATCGAGCTGGAGGGAGTGCGTGGAAGTGGGTGCATAGTCGCTTTCTTCGGTGTCCATTGAGCCTCGCAGGGGCTGGGGATAAGCACTATCGGTATTTGCAGGCATGGGAAACTCCAATGGCGAGGGTCTCTCGGGGCTTCCATAGCGTACTTCATCTCCATCTGAGTCATCACCCAAGCTTATTGGTTGCGGCGAATGTCCAGGCCTGCGTTCTGGATGTAAATCAAAGTACCCCAAGCGTTTCGGCACACTGCAGGTTGTCGTCTTTGGATACGACATTATACTGTCCACATCCACATCCACATCCTCACTTGTTATGCTTGGCGTCACGGTCGGTATCGGCTCAGGCTCATCATCGCTTGACGGTAACTGTGCTAGAGCCACGCCCGCAAGTACTTGTGCAACCTCGTGGCTCGCAATCTCCGGGTCTTGCATGCCCTTCCCGCGTGAGCTGAACGGACGGATATCCGCATCCTGCCCACCAATCCGCCGGCTGTGTGTCGCGACCAGGATATCCACCCACGCATCGTCCTTTGAGCGCCTTCTCTCGTCTCTCTCCCTCCCTCCTGCAGATGAAGATGTCATGTTATTCAGTTCATCATCTGAGTAGCTCGCCAGCCTCGTTTCAAAATCTACTGTGGCCTCAGCATATTCAGCAGGGACGACCCCTGAGCGGCGAAAACTGGGGTGGACGCGAAAGCGCGAGGCAAGCTTACGTGCAGATGTCGGGGAAATGGGCGAGTCGGAGGCTCTGCGCTCGATCTTTGAGTCTCTGTCCTTGTCTTTTGCGGGCGTCGCTGGTGGCTTGTCGTTATCTTTTAGCCGGGTATAGAGCGGTGCAGAGATAGCCACAGTCGGTCGAGTGGGAAGAACTGAGTGTGTGGTGGAGGGTTGTTCATCTGAAGCTATGGGAGAAAGGGCCCCTGTTGTACCGGACAACATCGGACCCCCGCTGGGCTTGTCTAGTGAAAGAACCTTACTCCCGTTCGATCTCAGCAGTCCCTCAAATTCGACTTCGCGATATGACGGACTCTTAGGGACGTGCCCGACAACGTAAGGACGTCCATTGAGTGTAGCAGCGGGTTTCCATGGGCGAGACTTGCCTGTTCATGCAGGAAAATTAGTTGTGATTGATAAGAGGCAACCGGGTGGAATGAAAGGGAGGGGAAGGTACATGTCATCAGGAAATTATCAAGGGGAAGAAAAGTTGAAACATTGAAAGGGAAACAACTACTCACTGTTAGGGGACATGAACAGAAACGGCATCCTTCGCTTCCCGCCACTGTCCTTGGCAAGCTGCTGGCGGTACTCCAAGGGCACAAACTCCTCAAACAAGACGAGCGTTGTGCTTGTTCTTGGGTCAGTACCACTACCAGGCGTGGGAAAGGGAGAGGATGTGGATGCAGATATCGGAAGAGACTTGAATTCAATCTAAGCGCCACGTCAGCAAAGGGGAAAGTAAAAGATAACATAGAGAAGAAAAACACCCACCAATGCCCAGTTACACTCCCTCTCGACCTCTGCTGCAGGTCCCTCTGCACTCAAGATCCCGCCAATTTCCTCCCGCCAACCCCCTCCCCAAACCAAATCGCAAAATACGTCCATAAATGCCTCTTCTACCAATTCTTCCGTGCCGAGGACAGGTTCTGTATCCCAACCAAAATCAGGCAAGGTCCTGGCGGTCTTCTTGAGCTTTTTGGTAAGGTCAGCATTGTGCGAGGGCCATGCAGAGATTGTGTGAGTGAGAGGCGTGCTAAATTGGAGGGTAGCACTTAAAGGCGCATCTGTGCGTGTAAAACCAGTTGTAGAGAAGTCGGTCCACGTGAGAGTAGCACGTTTCGCAGCACGGGCCTATATGTCGACAGAAGGGCAGTAAGCATTTCTGAAGCCCTAGTATGGATGTTACACATACCGTGCGCGCGCTTTCGGTCAGATCAAACTGCAACTTCTTCTCATCCGTAGCGATCGCCCCGAATCCCATCATCTCAAACTCACCCCACTTCAAATCTGTAAGGCTCCTAAACCTCTCTTCGCCCTCCCGTAGTCCCAGGCCCGTCACAGCATCCCTGTCATCAGATAGAGAAGACGACGTGCTGCTGGTCGCAGATGCCGGAGCAATACTGGGACCGGTGTACGGGTGTACATGTGACGGTAGGTCCATACGCTTCTTGTATGCTTCTGAGTATCTCGGGGACAGCTTGAGCGAAGGCGGGGCAATCCTTTCCCATTCCTTTGATCCCGCTAGGCCATGCCCATGTGACCGATGTGCCCAGCTTGCAGCAGTGTTTACTAAGTCTGGGCTATACATCCGTACATTACGCCTTACGCTTACGACACGCACCGTACGTGCACCCCTGCGTGCTTGTGGGCGTTCGTGCTTGACTGAATGGTGCAAGGCAGGGAGGGTGGAGGGATAGGAGCGGATCCATTCTTTGAGCCGGGTAGGAACACCGAGGTCAGATGTAGATTGCCAACGGATAAAGGAAAGGAGGAGATGTTCGGTGGCATTAACGGCGCGGAGGTAGTGGATATAGGTGTGGTGGAATGCGAGAGTGGCGGGACCGAGGCCGAATAGCAAGGGTCCGAATAAGGGGGAGATAGTTGGAGGTGTGTGTCCAGAGCTGGTGCTGTGCGCTGTGAACCGAATAAGCAGGCTTAACAGAGTGAGCAGGATCGAGCGCAGAGTCGAGGGAAGAGGTGGAAGGAAGGCAGAGAAGTGTTTCGGGGGATAGTTCTGTACTAAAGTAAAGTTAGTTTAATATAAAATGAGCGCCAATAGATGAAGTGAGCGTTTGATGTGAAGTGATTGCGATGCACAGCCGGGAACCGTCAAGAATGAGGGTGAAATGGAAGAAGACAGAGAAGACACTCACTTGCTTCAGAGTCTCGAAACTCTGTATAATGGTCCCAAGCAATGAGGCCTCTCACCGCCTGTCCACCAACAACTCTGACAACTCTGGCAAGTCCCCATCGTATGCACATGCCAAGCTCGTGCGGACCTGCAAGTCTGGCCTCCTCTCTCCAACGGTGTTCCGCATCGATTCCGCCCTTACATGTTTCCAGAAATGCTCTGATAAGCCCCCTAACAGAACTAGCCGAGACATCAAGTGCCAGAGTCGAAAAAATAAATGGAGTGGTCAGTGCTCTGGTGCCTAACTCGCTGGCCACGACATCCACGAGGCGTACGACTTCATCAAGACCCAGTACAACGTGCCGTTGATAAGACAAATATCCGTAGTCATGCGCTTGCTGCTCGTGGTCAATATCTTTGGGTTCCAAATTGAAAGGGAGAAAGGACCCATCAGGAATGTGAGCGAATGGTTCTGTCTCAGGAGTGCTGAGGGTTCGGTTCCGTGGTTTCTGTTTCACAAGCGTACTGGGAGGAGTACGCTTGCTGCTAGTGACATCTTTGGCAGAATTTCTACTATTTACGCGCCCAAACTCGTCATAAGGTGGGTCTTGATTGCCACTCGGGTGCTTCTTGCCTGTTGTCGAAGTAGTGCGGGTCCGCGAGAATAAACTGGGCATCGAGAGCCGACGATTCCTGTTTTTGCGGGCTGCTGGTAACGGTAATGTGTTGCGTTGCTCGGTTAAAGAGAAACTTTAAAAATGAGTGCGATCCAGTAGAATTATCTGGAAACCGTCGTGGTGCGGTCCACGTTAAAACAGTATCGACGTTCTATGTCCCTGGAGACGTTGAGGTGGACGGCGGCGCACAATGGAAATTTTGTGAGCTCGTGCCACTTAACGACGAGGATGATGATGATTGAGAAGGACACGGCAACGGACTCAAACAAGCACCGGGATTTCTGCGGTAATTTCTCAGGATCGAGTTTCATTGTACTGCTCTCTTGCTACTTTCATGCATGTTCAAATTCCAAAGCCTGGAAACATGTCTTGTTCGTCGTTGAAGACACTCAACGATCTCTCAAGCTCATGTCATATTTTTTGCATGTAAGTACGTACACAGTCACCGATTACGATTGAATCAACACGCTCAAGTTATCAAAGACTGAAATCTTCAATGACGCTCAAGTTCGTTCATTACCAAATATCAGCGTGTGGCTATATGGCTTCTCTTCAAAATTCTTTCGACGATGAGCTGCCAGACGTGCAAATCTAAAGAGCTTCCACGGAATCTCACGCTTTCGTCTACGTGGGATCACGTTGCTCATCACGTTGGTCGAACACAGTCTTGTCCTGTTCCGCTCTCATCGTTCCCGTACTTAAGTCATCATAGGTCATAGATAACCTTACAGCATGACACATTATTGTCCTGCCTTGTCACATATGTGCTGATCAGACATTCTAGTGGAGCGCTTGCCACTTAATGTTGTCAGTCAAGCTTCCGATTTGGATACACGCTGCCATGTGAACTCCTAGCAAGGCCTATTTTCTGTGTGTTGGAAAAAAGCCACTTGCGGCTTGCCTCCGCGCGAAATCAGAAACACACTCCCGGAATCCAGTACGTGAAACCATCATCGCATACATACGACCATTCCTAGTCCATCAGGCAGGCTGTATCATCTGCTCGTACACCTATATATACATCAGCATCAAACAACCAATTGCGTGTCCCTACCGATCTGGCCGCGGTCGTATGCCCTTCGTAAGCCAAAATCGCATGTTTCACTTGTCCCAAAAATCTTATCTTGATCTCTTAGGATTTAAGATACGGTTCGATTTTCAAGAGGTAATCATAATGGGCCAACTTTTGTTTATTGCCTGAGGCTATGGACTCTGTGGGTAGCGCTTCCTGTTGTCTATCGCACGTGTGCGCGTAGTCCTGGTAACGTTTAGCACCGCAGACTTCGTTTTAGTACTGACTTCTCCATGTAATCACAAGAAGCGCTCGTACTAAAATCACCGTTCCCATGGGATTGAAATACACTGCAAGTGTTCCAGAGTCCGTGTTTCAAATTCACTGTCGCACATCTCTTGATCTTGGCTACCGTATATCACCGCCATTCGAGGCCTCGGTTTGAGCGGTGCCGGTGATCTGCGGTGGAGTGTATAGACAGGTTGTGCGTGCATTGACACGAGCTCGGCGACCCGGGGACATGGCCTATCGGCGTGATTTGATATACACAACAACTTATCGTTCTGGCAGGTGCTTGTCTTAGATATCCCATACCGAACAGTGTCAACTGTGACCAATAGCTGAACGTCAAATCCTAGATCAAAATCGCTATGATCCTAATATTTTGTAGCAAAAAGGACATATTCCTCCTGCTTTTTTGCGTCGCAAATCCCACGGAAGCTTCGTCCTTCCGAACAAAGTCGAAGTTCTTATCCAGCAAAGAGACATGCACAGTTCGGCATGCTAACCTCACCGTTCTCGAAACTTTACAGATACCTGAATTCTCTTACAAGCAAGGCCGCCTGGATTTTACGTCCAATCTTGTTAACCAGAAGAATATTATGCTATGTCAGGCTCGTTCACTCTGCTCAATTGAATTATGCTGTATCTGTTTACTAATCTATCTACTTGCATGTGACTTCGCGAAGCTTAAGCGCCCTTCGAATAACACATGACCAAATAACTAGGTTTGATATCAACGTTGACATGTTGACATCGAAGTTACTGATGTGCAAAGAGGATGCAATGCTGCCTGGGACGGCAGTTGCCTTGTCTGACTAGTGAAAGGGTCGGAACACAATGAATCAAGTTCTGACAAGTTGAATCAACGTTCTCGCTCGGCTCAGGATCGACAACAACCTCTACTAAAACAGTATGAGCCCGAGTCAAAAGAAGTGTAGCGAATTATCGCGAGTTCTACTTCGATTCCGTTCACGGCACGCAAGTATCAACTTTTACTAATCTACGATTCCGTATATTCCTGGCTGTAAGTTGTTCCATTGCTCACGTAGGCGTATAAAATGAGTACGGCTGGTTGATGTGGTCCTCCAGTTCTCTCCCCCTTACACACTCGTTACAAATGCCCTCCAAGGCAAGATCATTGCTCGAGCTCACCAGGCTTCACTGGTTTCCAGTGGGGTGTGACTTCATGTTCTGGCCCTTCGGTGAGTCAAATGATGCATGGGGGACATTACTCGTCGGCTGATTTTATTGTACCTAGCGTGGGGCTCGCTGGCGGCATCATACCATGTAGCATTACCCATGAAAGAAGTTGTCACGAACACTTTGTTCTATGCGTTGTTAGGCACGTTGGTACATAGTGCAGGCTGCGTCATAAATGACATGCTTGATCGCGAGTTCGATCGCAAAGTTGGTATGTCGATTCCGTTCTGACTGTTGCCAACCGCCTGACAACGTTCAATCAGAACGTTCAAAAAACAGACCGATCGCGTCGGGAGCTGTCACTATGCTAGAGGCCTCGGTTCTTCTGACCGTGCTCGTTGCTGCCATCTTTTACATGTTCTCGACTGCTGGCCCTACAGCGTGAGTAGATTATCCAGAAAGTATCAAGACTTCTCTCACAAGCTGGTTTAGTTTGTTGCTCGGTCTTGTTGGACTCCCAGCTTGTGGCGGGACGTATCCGCTAATGAAGCGCTGGATGTATTGGCCGTCTTTGTACCTTGGTATGGCTTTTTTCAATTAAAATCCGTTTACCGTCTTATTTAGTTCCTAGGTTTTGCTGCCAGCTGGGCCGTTCCATTCACGTGGGTGGCAATCACGGGTGAATTTGATTGGGGCATGATACTGAATGTCGGAGTCGCGTCGTGCTGGTAAGTTGGCCAGAAAGGTATTTTTTGTTTCCCCGAGGGGCTGACGGTGCCTCCCTAGCTGGACGTGTCTTTACGACACTATCTACGCGTGTCAGGTGACTAGCCCGTTTGGTTCTACACTGAAACGTCGGTTTTAATTACGTTATATCAGGACAAGAAGGACGACGAAAAGGCTGGAGTCAAGTCCATGGCAGTCCGTCTGGGCGATGGCATTCGTCCTGCACTGAGCGTATTTGATGCGACGTTCTTCGCGTGTCTTCTATGGGCTGGGTATTTGAATGGCCAGCACCTACCGTTCTACGTGATGAGTGTCATTGCGCCCTTCCTCCTCTGTCTGTGGCACATATGGTCATTTGATCACAATGATCCCCGAGACAGCTGGAAGAAATTTACGGTACGTTTAAGTGATATAACTACGAGCTGATTCTGATATGCTATCATTGTGCAGGCAGGTCGCCACGGCGCAGCGTTGGTGTGTGCAGGATTGGTCGTGGACCATTACTGCAATCTCGTGTCCCTGGCCATTTGAGCATGTACTATCATCTCAGGCTGTATTCGAGGTGACGCCTTCGACCATCCTGTTAATGTACTTATTTTATCCTGGAGTATCGCTTTTGTTGTCTATATATAAAGATGAGTGACGCAGACATCGACATAGTGCTTGCTACAGTCTTTCGCTTCCATTTTTTTATCCTGGTCCCTGGAGTACTGTTTATATTTTTCGATATACAAACTAATAGACGAATGATGATGCAGACATCGCAAATAAGTGTGATGATCACATACAGAAGGCAGCCTTGTATCAAGACTACTCACTTCCTGTGTGGCTACAGAAAGACCCTGCGTGGTAGTAGGGAAAGAGGAAGTACAACTCATGGTACGAAGAGTCGAAGATCTAGCAACTATCTATTAATACCCCTACTAACTCCGTGGCTGCCCCTGCCTCTGCTGCTGACAGAGCTACTTATCAGTAAAACATCGCTGGGGTACCTGTTCTAGATGCCACTGGCACGATCACATGCATCCCCTCTGACCTCAGCGATATTTCACACAGCATTGATGATTTGCACTCAGCTCTCTCTCTAAATTTCTCCATACATAACGTAGCCCATAGATATACCAGTAGCATCCTAATAACGAGAGTTTGAAGTTCATGAATCATGTCTGCCGAGCAGACTGTCCGTTACTATTCGTAGCATGAAGTATGACTCACAACACGAACATGGGCAGAAAGTGCGGGATTTGGCCAGTCTGCGTGACGTCAGACAAATCACAGACTCCGTACTCCATGCCATCAGCGGGTTGGATTGTGCTACAGAATGCTACAGAGCGCTCTGTAGCATTCTGTAGTGAATTACGTTTCCCCGATGGGCCTGCGGAAAGTGTCAGGACTCAGGAAGTCTGTCAAAGCCTGCCGTATTTTGTCATCTCCTGGCGTCGGGCTCCTGCCCAACCGCCAGCTCTCCCACCATCCCTCCTGTCAGCCTCTCCTGCCATTTCACGTCGTCCGCCGTGCACACTGACGTAGATGACGGAGGTGGTTGATGGCAGTGGCTGACAAGACAGCTCGGAACTTGCCGACCAAACATCCTGCCCAGACGTGTCTCCCAGATTTTGGCGCGGAGTCTGCGCAGACTTGACACATACCGTGTCCTCAACATGGGCGCAACCCATATTATCGGACTTCGAAAATGAGTCGCGGCAAATCGAACCATCAGTCGGCAGTTCTTGTTCTCGCAAGTGGTTCGCAATTCTTTGCTGGAATACTACTCGTCCTAAACCCTTGACGAGTTGTGAAGTGAGTTGCCGTTTCTTCTGTTATTCAGACACTAACTCTTGGAACAGTCGTCTTTCGACGTTTGGCTACGGGAGACAAATGTTAACGTATAATTGATGGGTATTTAGACAAGAAGAACAAACTGCAGTAATATGCAAGGTACATGCCAATGTCCACAGGTATGAAGTCTACATGTAAATAATATGGAGGGGTAGGTACAGATCTCAAATCCTCAAGGTTATTAATGGCTCGACTAACACAACTCCCACATTTTCACAGAATCCCTGCGACATATCTCAATGTGAGAGACGAACAATGCGTTGAGGCGCCAAACGACTTACACGATCAATGAACTACTCTCTCCATCTGAGCCCCAGGTGGGGTACCATGTGTCCTGTGCTTGCGCAAAATCCAGCATAGCGGTTTTCGAGTTATCCAGCCATGGCTTGTTGCCTGCATTATCGGGGAACCATCCGTTAGTCCCGCCAACGGCGAGGTTAAGAATGAGATAGAATGCTGTGTGTCGATCGGTAAGCTGCGCCTTCATAACTATTCACAAGAGCTTACGTTGGTCGAAAGGTGTCGCATTGGTGCCGTTGATCCAAGGGTTCTGCAGGACAATGGGCTCTGTCCCATTTTGGACCACAGAGGGAAAGTCTCCACGTGTAAAGAAGGGCTCGTTGAAGGAAAGCTCAAGCATATAGTGTAAACGAGTGTCAACGTAAATGCGACTGTCAGGTTGGTCAGAGGATTGCCTACATTCGAAAGTAACTTGAAACTCACAGGAAACTATCTGTCCACTCCAGTGTATAGGTGTGGAAACCCTCCCCATAGTCGGTGCGTCTCTGTGTCCACCAGCCGAAAGTCTTGTACACGGCGTTCAAGAACGACAGGGGTCCCCAGTTGAGTGATCCGCGGACATAGTCGATACCCCTGTTAGGGAGATCAGCGATACAATCCTGGTCAGCAAATCGTGGCTTGTAAAGTGATCAGATGCCTTACTGATCAGGGTAGCTGCGAGCATTTCCGCGTGATTCCATGATGTCGATTTCACCGCTCAATGGCCATGGTCCGTAGGTGTCATTCACAGGAAGCATCCAAATTGCGGGCCAGAGCTACAAGGCCGGTCAGTAAATAATATGGTCTTGTCCTGGCAATACAATGCTCACCCAATCACTACAAGGAGCCGAAGGTAGGTCAGTCTACATATCAGATCAAAAGAGTAATACGTACCCCCGTGGGAGCTTGGCCCGTACCTCAACGCGGCCATATCGAATGCTAGCTTTGTTGAGTGTGGTGATCCTCGCACTTTGTATAGGGTTAATTATGGTGCCGGTGGTACTGTTGCTTACTGCACCGCAAGCTTGGTAGTAGGCGGCGGCGTCAAAGCCCGTGATGTTTGATGATCCCGGATTTGCACCTGGGGTGGTCGAGTTGTACGTGCAATCGGTAAGGTTGTATGTATAACCGTTGAACACAGCATCCGAGCCGATAACGTTTGACGTCAGGGTAGGGGTTATGTAAAGATATCCGTTGGAGGTGTATGAATTGTTTGATGACGATGTTGCCATCTCAAACTCGCCGTTCCTGGAAGAACTGTAAGCGTTTATGTTTACCCAAAGTATGGATTCGCTGACCCGAATCCGCCTAATTGGACTTCACGGACCCAATTTCCGTTAGGTCCGAAAGTTGTATCGGTGTCGGAATTAAAATCTTCATCCAAGACCATGCACAGGTTACCTGTGATCAAGGGTACGCTCTTGTAACCAAAGTAAATGCGCAAAGCAGAGGCTGCTATG